GCCCGGCGTCTCCCGACTCGGGCCTGCGCAGGCCAGGTGCGCGGCGCCTCCATCTTGGGAGGGAGCCCGCCCGTCCCCTCCGCGCCCCGCGCCCCGCGCTCGCAGCCTTTACACCCGACCGCGGTCGTCCCGGAGCTCGGACGCCTCGCGCGCCCGCAGCCACCTCGGGACAGGTAGGCTCCCCGCCCCTCCCCCGCGGCGGGCCCGGGAGTTCCGTTCCGATTCGGCCGCCGGGGCCTGCGGCTCGGAGACGCGAGGAGCACGGAGCCTTGAGCCCCGGAGGTTCGCGGCTCGGGCCGGACTCCGTCTCCCGTATTGTCCTTGGAGAGGAGAGGTGGGGCGCTGCGGCTTCGGGCATTGGCGTGGGAGTCGTCTCGGAGGAGACGCACCGTAACCACCTGATGCGGGTCTCCTTCCCCCGGGGAGCCTTAGCAGCCCGGAGGCAAACGCCCCTGCGGGGATTTTTTGAGGGGATTAGGGCGGGAGGGATGTGTTATGAGAAGATTATACAGGGGAAAGTTTTCGTTGTGATCCAGAACCTGTGGACAATTTGTCGTTCTCCAGATTCGGAAGAATTTGGAATTCGTGCTTTAATTTGTTGTTGTCTCGTAAATACTGCTGAAGTGGGGGAGGGATTGTACCCTTGCCATTGGGAATTTATCACTGCATCACAGGCGGGGATTAACATCTGGAATGGAGGCTGTTGCATAATGCATACATTTGAGCCCTGGAGGGACTTCTCCAAAATGGAGCTGGGTGTAGTGTGCCGTACGTTTTTATTTCTCAGATTTTGTGCACAGCGTAGGATGTACAGGTAATCTTTGTAAATTATACCTTGTTATCCTGTTATGAAGCATTTACGAGGGGAAAGACTTGATGGGATGGAGCGGACGCGAATTTTATTATTATTATTATTTTTTAATCTTTGGAGTAGAGGACAGAGAATGAGATGATGAGAAACACCTGGGGAAAAGTTCATTCGTAGTATGACTTCTGGCACGAAAAGAAGTAAACATGATAGTCTTTCACAGGAAGCTTGAAGTTGTCACAGTGTATTTGTTTTTAAATTTATGGTGAGGATTCATTTGGGGAATTTAGAAATATCGTATGTGAGTAGTAGCCGGGCGTGGTGGCACACACCTGTAATCCCAGCACTCGGGAGGCTGAGTCAGGAGGATCCTTGCAAGTTCGGGACCAGCTTGGGTTACAGAGTGAGCTCAAGGCCAGCCTGAACTGCATAGCGAGATCCTGTCTCAGAAGCAAAAAAGAAAAATCTGGTATGAGTAGTAACACTGACTTTTAGATCCTGGAAAGTTTCCAATTAGTCTGACCTTTGAAATACTGTTATTTTACAAATAGTATCATTTCTTTAATAAGGGTACAATATGCATCAAGCAAAAGACTGATTTGGAGAAAACAAAACATTTAATAATTGAATGTTTCGAGAATAAAATTTCCACATCATCTTTTTAAAGTTAATTTGGACTTTTTTTTCCTGTATAGTCAAGACTTTCCCACTAATTCTTTACAAACAGAGTGCCATCTGTGACAATGTTATGCTTCCCATCCATGCCATGTTCTATAGTGAGAATTATGGAGGCAGAGGACCCTTGGATATTTAGAGAGGGGTCTGTTAAGCAGACTGACTGCTAGGAATGGCCAACGACTTGTCTGGACTATCTATCCTAGGCACATGCAGGATGAGATTATTTATTGTTGCAAATTCAGTTTGAAGTTGAACAGAACGTTATGTTGATTCCATTAATATAACTGTTGGAGAGGTTCACTGACTTGGTACAATTATATTTTGTTGACTTGAGTTTGGAGGTGATTTGATGTGCTTTTTATCTTTATGGTAGCTTGAGATTTCAAGCATTATTTTATCAGTGATTGAGAAATTACAAAGAAAAGACTAGTATTTTTTTTCCATTAGCTCTCACCTGAAAAGCCTTTTAAAAGCCTTATTTGTGTTATGTTGTTATTGATTAAAAAATGCAGAAACATTTACTGTAAGTAATTAAAAGAATTGAATGTTCAGGCACAGATTGAATATCTGTCAAGGATTCTGTACAAAGGATTGCCTGTTGGGCAGGAAGTTAAAAAAAAACATCCTGTTCCCTCTCATTTCTAAGAGTTGATGATTCTAAGTGCAAAAAAGAAATGGTGTATTGTTAAGGCGATGTTTTCTTCACACATCAGTAGGCTTTTGCTGCTTTGCTTATTTAACTCAAATTCATAAATTTGGTACAGTGGTAGAGGGGTATTTCACAATTCTTTTGAAGACAACATTACTGAAGGTTGAATGATGAAGGGAAAGGAGTGATGATTTAAAGAGAGGGAGAAGCTGTAATTTTCAGTAAGGATATAAATGTTAGGTGGATGGAATTTTAGATTTGCATATGAAAACCAAACATTTATGAATTCTGTACACTGCACTATTCATTCAGCCTAAGCTATGCTTTGGACTAGAAAGGATATATATGTATGTATATATATGTATATGCAGTATCTGTATATCTTGGTTTGTGAGCATAAATTGTTCCAGAAACTTGCTTGTAAAACAAAGCACTTGTATATCAAAGGACATTTCCCCATAAGGTATAATGGAGCTGGGCGTGGTGGGGCACGCCTGTAATCCCAGCACTTGGGAGGCTGAGGCAGGAGGATCCTTGCAAGTTGAGACCAGCCTGGACTACAAAGTGAGCTCAAGGCCAGCCTGAACTGCACAGCGAGACCCTGTCTCAAAAAGAAAAGAAAAAAAAAAAGTAAAATGGAAACTCAAAAGGATTCATTCCACAACTCGAAAATACCCATATAAACATGATTACAATACTGTAATACAATACAGTGCAAAGTAATAAAGACAATAAAGAAGATAAATAAACAAATTAACCTGCACTTAGCTTTGAAAACCTTCGTGGCTAGTGTGAGAGACAAAAGAGGGGAGGGTTATTGTGTAGACTGACTTTCACTATTATTAATGGATCACTGCTCTCTGTTGGCTCAGTGGAGTCTTTATATTTTTGTGCAGCTTTAACAAGGAACCTATCCACTGACACTTGCTTTTGCCTCATTTTGAGGATTTCATGGAAATGTAACATTGCGTTGTTAAACAGATTCATTGCTGACACTGCTACAGCCTTATTTGGGTAGGGCTTTCCTACAGATTTTTCACCGTTACCCACATTTTACACATCTCCCTAATCTCATTTGAAGTGAGGGGTTCCTTCACCTTTTCTTCTTCCTCTTATGTAGATGAGATCTCTTGCTGTATCCTGTTGCTGTATCTGTTGCTGTTGGGAGATGATTACCCACGATCCTGCAAAGGGAGAGGGAGAGGGAGAGATGGAGGTGGGGGAGAGAGATTGAGAGAGGGGGGAGGCAGGCAGAGAGAGAGAAACCATTGGCTCAGTTGTGATCTTGTGACATTTGGCATCACATCCTGTGTACTCGTATTTCAAGACATTGTTCATCAAGTTAAAATTTACTAGAAGTGTTTGCTTGTCTGGTAGGACTTTACAAAATAACAGTTGAACCTGGTCTTGAATAATGAAATAAAGGAGAGTTTTCCTTGGAGTGTGGGACATAAGAAGTATTCACAGCAACCACTAAAGCGTGAGTTATATTGGTATTGTTGGATAACAGTAAGGTCAGTTGAGTTGGCCCAGATCCCACGGAGAGTTGAAGCCTGGTTGTGATTAAATGTGTAGGGGTTTTGCTCTATGGTGATGGGAATCCATTTTGGAAGGAAAGAGTTGACAGAATGAGGTTTTCTAATTTTTTATATTAGATCATCCTACTGTAGTATAAAGGCTAGATTGGAGTGAAGAAATCAGTTAGAAACCCCTATGATAGTCTGTGCAAGGGCTAGATGTGGGAGGCAGGCTGAAGTAGAAAGGCAGTATCAGAGATGGAAAGTGCAGTCTGTGCCCTGGTGTCAGACAGATTGGGTTCCAAAGGGCATCAGGACCCTGTTGCTTATGTGTTGGAATTTAAGCTTAGTTGAGGCGTTGCTACTTTAGCTGTAAAATGAAGTGAATGACATCTTTTGCAAGCTTATTAGAAATACAATTCACTGCCTTCCAGGTGACAAGTATTTAATAACACTAGTGCCAAATTCTGTTTGTAATGATGAATGGTTGTGACAATAAGGGAAAGGAATGCTTGAGTGTAGAATGCTTCCAGTAATGCAGTTTCCACTAGGGATGCTGCATTAACCTAGGAAAAGAGGAAGAAGTGGACGTGGAGAGGCAGAACAGTTGGTTTGTGACCTGTTTTTAGTTTTGAATTACTAAGGGAGAATCCAGGTAGAGATACAGGATACTGTCATATTGCTTTTTTTTTTTTTTTTCTTTTTTGGTTTTTCTCCGGTACCGGGAACCGAACTCACGACCTTGCGCTTGCCAGGCGGGCGCTTTTGCCGCTGAGCTAAATCCCCAGCCCCAGGATACTGTCATATTGATGTGAGCGGTTACAATTGTGTGACTGACCTGGAGGGATCTAGGCAGAAGTGCAGATTTGGAAGCTACTGGTGTATATAGTTGGTTCATGGAGCCACTAGACAAGATAACATTTCTAAGTAAGAGCATCTTAAATATTGTGGATTAAAATGTGAAAGGTTCCTTAATGTCTACCTACATAGAGGTTTTGAAAATATGTATTGGGAACAGATCAGTTTAGTGGATTGCATGAGTTTATGGGTGATGAAGAAGGGAACGTTAATTCTCTGAAAGAACTTTGTGGGTAGAAAGAAGCATTGGGAGAGAGTATTGTTCTGGGTGTCGAGGGACAAGAGAAACTTAGATGGCAGGAGGTAGTCAGTTGGGTCTGTTCTGTCACACGGTAAAGAAGAGCGAGAATGAAAATAATCAGTTGAATTTGGTAGTTGGAATGTTATTGGGGGCCCTAAGTATTTTTTTTTTTTTTTTGAGACAGTGTCGCTGTGCAGTACAGGCTGGCCTCGCACTCAGTGATCCTCCTGCCTCAGTCTCCCAACTGCTGGGATTACAGGCATGGACCACCACTCCCAGCCTGGGAGTAATCAAACTATATTGATATTGTTATATCAGTATATTGATATTGATAAGGACAGGGGCTAATTTGGGAACTTACAGGAGTGAAGAAAAGTCAGTGAGTTTGACTGATAAAGCAGACTGTACAAATAAGGAGTTAGTAGGTTAAAATCTTTTTTTTTTTTTTTTTTTGGTTTTTCTCTGGTACTGGGAACCGAAGTCATGACCTTGCACTTGCCAGGCAGGCGCTTTGCCACTGAGCTAAATCCCCAGCCCCCACCAGGCAGCAACTTATGCCACTGAGCTATATCCCCAGCCCTCTAGGTTAAAATCTTTTGTATTCATGTACTAGTGTTTGTAAGTTTAGATTGGCCCCAGATAAACCTCATGACCTTATTCTGAAACTTAACAGTAGTTAATTAATTTGTCTATTTATGTTTTATTTCTTTTGTTTTTTTTCTGGTACCAGGAATCGAACTCACAACCTTGCACTTGTCAGGCAGGCTCTGCTCCGCTGAGCTAAATCCCCAGCCCCTATTTATGTTTTTTTTTTCTTTTGACACAGTATCCCTCCATGTAGTACAGTCTGCCCTTGAACTCACTATGTAGCCCAGGCTGACCTCAAACTCAGGGGATCCTTCTGCCTCAGTGTCCTGAGGGGTTACAGGTGTGTGCCACCATGTCTATTTTTGTTTTCCCCCAGTACTGGGGATTGAACCCAGGGCCTTTACACTGAGGAACTTTTTTTTTTTTTTTTTTGAGACAAGGTCTCATTAAAATGCCAATTTGCCCAGGCTGGGCTTGAATTTATAGTCCTCCAACTTTAGCTTCCCAGACTGGTGGGGTTACAGCATTATCATACCTGGCATGGACCCATGTTTTAAAATATTGTAACTGTAGCAGTGAGGATTATGCTGAATACTCACTGTTCTTTTTAAAGAAAGTTACTTGTTTATGTATTTATTCATTTGCAGTATTGGAATTAAACCAAGAGGGTCTTAGCAGTGAGCTACATCTGCAACCTCTCCTCCCCTTTGTAAATTTTGAGACAAGGTCTTTCTAAGTCTCTTAAGTTGCCCTGGCTGGTCTTGAACTTGGGGTCCTCCTTTCCTTCCAAAATACTGGGAAGACACGCACCACATACTTGCTTTTTACTAATTTTAATAAAGCCCTATGTAATTCGGTACATTATATGGTAAAGAAGCCAGATATAAAGTAAAGAATTTTAGAAAAATTATTTAATGTTGAAGTGGATGAAATTTTATGGTGTATCCAATAAGTAGTTCTTATGTTTTTTTTCCTGAACCTTATAAACTGCTACCTTGAGATTAGAAATAGTGCTCATTAGCCTGGGCCATGATGTACTACTACCATGGTGTGTCCTAAGGCAGAGGTGTGGATTTCTTTGCTGGGGCACCATATGTATTAGGGTCAAAGCCCATTTATTTCTTTCTCTTTTAGAGCATCTGTTAATTTATAGTGAGACTTTTGTGAATATATCTGAAGGGTGAAGAAGCATTCTCTATATCCTGATTTTACTTTGTGGGTAGCAAGATAAGGTTTTATTTTACATTCCTTGGTGTCATTTACTATTGATTTTGGGTTCTGATTGTTCAGCACCTTTCAAGACTTTATGAATCTCATTTATCCGTATGAACCCTATTTTTCTGCTCCAAGGTAGACCACCAGAATTCACAATTTGCCTTTCTGAGATCAGATGCAGTCATGCCAGCTATATTTTGCCTATGTAGTGCATCCATGGGAGCCTGCTGCTGAAAGCCAGCACCTGGAGGAAAGGTGCTCAGGCTGGAACTTGTTTCTTTCCCTCCTGTGTCTTCTCCCTTGGGGCCCTTCCCCTTCCCTCACCAGGCCCATTTGCTATTAACAATGTTGTCCTTGTGTGTTCTTCCAGACTTTGCTATATAAGCATACACTGATAGTATCCATAAATTAAAATTTTTTGTGATACTGGGATTGAATCCAGGACCTTTGCACTAAGCTATATCCCCAACATACTTTCTTTTTACTTTGAGACAGGGTCTTGTTAAATCACTAAATTGGCCAGGCTGGGCTTGAACTTGTGATCCTATCTCCTTAGCTTCCCAGTGTGCTGGGATTACAGGTGTGTATGACCATGTTCACCATAAGTTATTTAAAAAATATATTCATGCTTTTTTTTTTATAGATAGAAGTACTGAGAACTTTTGATGTTTATTTTTCCTGTTTCATGGATTATCTATTATACCTTTTGCTTATTTGCTTATCTTTTAATTTTTAATTTTTAAAGTTTTTAACAAAATCATTATATTTTTTGACTGTAAGAGTATTGCCTGGGTGTAGTGGTGCATGCCTGTAATCCTAGCACTGGGGATGCTGAGGCAGGAGGATGGCTACAAATTTGAGGCCAGTCTGGGCTATATAGTGAGTTCAGGACCAGCCTGAACTACATAGTGAGACCCTGCCTCAAAAAAAAAAGAATATTAGCTCTTGTGAGTTGTGGGTCATATTGATTGTAATTTGCCTCTGATTTTTCTTTTTAAAAATATTTATTTAAAAAAAAAAATCTCCCTATGTAATTCAGACTGACCTTGAACTCAGTATGTACCCCAGGATGGCCTCAAATTTGTGGTGCACCTCTGGCCTCAGCTTCCTGGGTGTTGAGGTTATAGGCATACACCACCATTTTTCTGTTTTTTGATACAGGGTTTTTGTTTTTGTTTTGATAGGATCTTGCTTTGTTGCCCAGGATGGGTTCAAATTCCTTGGCTCCAGCGATCCTTCTGACTCAGTCTTCTGAGTAGCTGAGACTACAGGCACATAGCACTGTACCTAGCCCAAATGCAAACATTTTAATATATATCTAGCAGTTAGTCACACTGTATTCCTCAACTCTTAGATCTTTTTTCCTCTGCATGTTCTTCATGGTCAAGTAATCTGCTCATGGTTACACAGCTGGTAATCCCATCTATTTGGTTCAAGAGCACACACATTTAACCAGTGCCTTACATGACTTTTACACATGCAGAGCCCCACTTGTCATCTGAGTTTTGCAGAGCACTTGCTCAAGATGCCTGGTACCTTCATGTTTGAATGAGCTCTTATCTGGGAGTATTCTTTTGGACATGAAGACTGCATGAAACCTTCAGTAAGAAAGAACACTCTCAGGACCCCTCTTGTAAATAGTAAGCAGTGTTGACGGACTTGTTCTGAGATGTCATTCTTCTCATCATACTGTTGTGATTGAGAGTGTAGGCATCAGAGTCAAATGCTAGCTCTGCTGCTTACTAGTTTTGTGCCTGGAACACGTTACCCAGCTGCTTTGTTTCTTAGTTTCCTCATCTGCCAAGTGGAAAAAATGAAAGAACCCACCTCATAGGTTTGCAATAACAGTGACCTCAGAAAACTCAGGTGTAGTGTTTATAATAGAGCCTGGCACATAGTCCACTATTGGATTAGTGAGTGTTACTTTAAAAAATGGGTTTGCTTCCTCCTTTAAATAAAGGCAACAGATATGAATTGTGTTTACTTTCCTATCCACTGCCTACAAACTGTAGGCAGTCCTTACCTATATGTAATTAAACCTTTCTTCTTTCACAGAGACCAAAGAGGGATTGCCAGGCAGTGTTGAGGCCACTGGAGATTTGGATGGTCTGTTGAGTTATTTCATTTTTGTCATACTCAACATCTCAGCAGTCAGAGTGGAGGTGAGTAGTTGGATGAGCCTAGGATGTAGGGCCTTGTGTGGGGCAGGAGGGCTAGCAGAGTAACAGGTAAGTACTAAGATAAAGAGATCTGTTCAGCTGATATAATGCAGGACCTGTGTTAGGGAAGGAAATTATGGTAGCAAGAAAAAGAAGAGAGGAATCCAGAGAAAAATCAAAAGGTTTATAAACAGGCTTCCTGTGGAAAGGGTTGAAAGCATTGCTGGTTGTAATTGCCTGGACACCAAACTTGTTCTTCCTGTTGTAGCATCAGTCTTAAGAGGTAGGATCGTGACTTGGATAGGTTGAGATAATTATGTTTCTCTGAGAATTCTTTCACTTCTGAAATCTTTTCTTCCCTCAAAAGTCCCCAAACAACTGCGGTAACCTATGTGAAGCCTGTAGTAATTTAGGAACTGAGCATCTAAACATGTTCCTGTCTTTTTAGTAGAGTTGACAACCAGTAGTTAACAATGAATAGGAAAAACCACAGTGATAGAAATTTGTTTTCCAACTCCATTTTCAAATTTTTCTTTTTTTGGTACCAGAAATTGAACTCAGGACCTCATGCTTGCTAGGCAGGTGCTATGCCACTGAGCTATATCCCTGGCCCCTCAAATTTTTCTTAATAGCATATTCATTCTTTCATATAGCTGTGTAATCCCCTGAGGGAAAAGGAGTGAAATTATTAAAAGATGGATATTGTCAAACTGTTTTTAAAAAATGGTGAGCTCTTATGTAAGAGTCGCCTTATTTTTATCTAGGTTAGCCAGAATTAATGAGCTTACTATTTACTTAATTCATAAATTAATTTGGACACTTTTTACACTTCACTCCATTCTGTGACAAGTTTTTGATGATTTGGCTTGAGGCTACATTAAGCTTTCTCAGTCATGTAGAATGTAGTTAGGCCTTTGGTTTATCTCATGGGCAGAGCATAAAGTACTTGACAAAATTTGATCTGACAGCTTTTTACTTATGCAACATAGAACAGAAGCTTAAAAACAAAAAAAAAAAAAAAAGAGGAAGAATTGAAGGATTTGTCTTAGCAGCCTGTATCTCTTATCCTTTCCCTCCTTGCCTGTCTAAACTGGAGCAGAACCATGGTAAGGCTATTAAGTTATGTAGCCTTAGGGACTTTGAAAAACTTATTAGAAGCATTTAGAGGTAAAAAGGTCTTTAGGATTATCCTGTCTAGTTGTATCACATTACCAGTGGGCATACCCAAGCCTGAAGAGGGGAAGTACAGTTCTTGCCTCCAGTCACAAAGCTAGTGAGGGTTGGAGCTGACCTAGCAACCAGGGTCACAGAAGTCCACTTCCAGCACTCTTTCTGGTATAATACGGGAATAGACTATGAAGAATGGGCTATTATATTATCTTACAAACATAAACTTTTTGTAACTATGACAGAAATTGGTGATACTTGATTTTGCATATTAAGTAAAAATAATTACATTGGGAGGTATAGCTGATTGCCTGAGTTCAGTTCTTCTGGTTCTGCTAGTGGTGTGATGTGGTCAGGTCTCTTAAACTCTAAGGCTTTATTGCTTGGCCGATGAAATGGGACTAATGAAATGCTTGTTATATGCTAAAACCTGGCGTAAGGACACTTCAGTAAATGTCACTACTACTGCCAGTCACTTCTGGTTTTTTTGTTGTCATTTAAGATGAGTGACATTTAGCACTGAGAGGAGCTGTAAGGGCTTTAATTAAGGACAGGCTGGTATGTGTGTGTAGGCCTCTGGAATTAGGGAAGTAATTTCTAATTTTTTCATATTAAGAATGACGATGAATATAGTGTTTGTATTTATTTTTTGTTTTTTTCTTGTTGTTGTTTTGTTTGAGACAAGGTCTCGCTATGTAGTTTAGGCTGGCCTTGAGCTGACTTTGTAGCCCAGGCCCAGGCTGGCTTCGAAGTCACGGTGATCCTCCTGCCTCAGCCTTCTGAGTGCTGGGGTTACAGACATGCACTGCCATGCCTTGCTATTGTAGTTATTTTTAAACTGTACTTAGAAATTGCAATTTCTGTTTTTTTCCCTTGGTGCTCTTTTTTGTGCAGATTGAAGATCCTTAAGTGGTCTCAGGGAAACAGGATTGGTTTGTATTTGAATAAAAATTTTGTATATTAAGAAAAGAATAAGCTTTGGTTAACAGTAAAAACAAATTGTTTTTCTGTTTGAAAGTTGTAGACATGAAGGGTAAGGAGTTCTGCTTCACCACGGTGTAGTCATTGTCACTGGCCTTGATAGGAGTCTTCTTTTTTTTTTTTTAAACTGGGAATTGAACTCAGGACCTCGCACTTGCCAGGCAGGTGCTGTGTCACTGAGCTATATCCCTGGCCCTAGGAGTCACCTTGTGAGAGCAGCCCATCAAGTGCAGGTCGTTTTTGCTACCTTGCTGACATTGTGCATTGATTTGGGTGCTTTTAGGTCGTATTCCTGTGAACATTTAAATAATGATAGGAATTTTAAGACCAGTGAGGGAAATGCCTATCCTAATATATCTAATTTAATAGAAGTTGGTAGTCCTAGGTCTTAATAGTTTAGGTGAATAAAATTTTCTAAAAAAAAAAAAGGGTTGAGATTCTAATACATACTTCCCTGTGGATGAACCATGGACCTTCATGCAGAGTGAAATAAGCAGACACAAAAAGATGATTAACTGTATTGATTCTATTAGTTCTTAGAAGAGTCCAAGTTCACAGAGTTAGAAAGTAAAAGAAAGATTACCAGGGACTGAGGGGAGTAATGAACGGGAAGTTTCTGTTTGTACAGACTTTGCTTGGGAAATATGTTCTAGAAATGGATAGTGGTGATGGCTGCATACCATTGTGAATGTACTTACTGTCATTGACTTGTATCTTTAAGAATGATTAAAATGGTATATTTTGTTGTATTTTAACAGTTTTTAAGCTGGGCGTGGTGGTGCAGGTCTGTAATCCCAGCGCAGATGCAGGAGGATTGCTGCAAATTCGAGGCCAGCCTGGGCTCAGTAGTGAGTTCAAGGACAGCCTGAGCTACACCATGAGTTCAGTTCCCAGTACCGGAGAAAAAAGAAAAAAAAGCAAAAAACCAAAAAAAAAAAAAAAAAAAAAAAAAAAGGAAAAAATCTCCAGTGTTTAAAAGAGGATGTAATGAGATGAGGGTGTGTAATGTGTGTGTGTGTGCGTGTGTGTAGATTTTTGAAAGAAACAAATGGACAAAAACGTTAGTGACACAGGGTTGTGGCACACAGAAAAATCTCGAGGTATATGCAGATTACTGAAGTTAGGACAGTACTGGATGGAGGAATAATTAGTGACTAGCAGTACCTGGCACGTGTTCCCAGTCTGCCTCACTGTGAACTTAGCAAAGTGGGTCTAGACCTGACTTAAGAACAGCATGTGAGTGGACAGCTTAAGACCTCTGAGACTGCTTGTCTCCTTCAAAGGCTTTGGATTTTCTTACATCATTCAGAAAACCTAGTTTGCCTGTTGAATGTTTTCACCCTTTTCATTGATAAAACTTAAAGAGAATACAAAGAACTTTATAAATGTGACATTAGCTTTAAAATCTTTAAAGAAACCATAGTATCACAGTAAAAGTACATGAAAAAACCCCAATAAATTCGTTGTTTGATCAGGCTCGTAGGCCATGTTGCAGTTTTTGTATAGACTGTCATATTATTATGTGCTTGTAATATGGTTTTTTTTAATAGATCAAGTTTTTGGCAATATTCTTTAATTTTTATTTATATTTTACCCTTTAGATTATGGCTACACTTTTTCTTTTAAAGTTTTTTGAGGTGTGGTCTCTCTATAGTAATTCAGGCTGGCTGCTACGTAGCCCAAGTTGGCCTCAAATTTGGCAATCCTACCTCACCCTCCTGAGTCCTGGGATAATAGGCATGCATTATCTGTCTTGTTTTTTTGTTTTTTGTTTTTGTTTAGCAAATGAAATTTTTAAATGTTTCATACATACTTTGTTTTGGGAGGTAATATTCAAGGGAATCTCAAATTGTGTTTTTTTTTTTTTTTTTTTTTTTTTTTTTTTCTGGTACCGGGAACCGAACTCATGACCTTGCGCTTGCCAGGCAGGTGCTTTGCCACTGAGCTAAATCCCCAGCCCCTTCATAAATTGGATTTAAAGGGAATTCTGTGATACTAATCCTCTTGAGCTTTATTCAGCCAATTTTAGGTTGTATTAAATATCTTAGTATTTTAATGGACTTTAAATCTTTGATAGGAATATTTATATATTTGGATTTGTTTATACAATAGGAAAACTGTTACTACGTTCTCCTATTGTCCTAATCAGTGATACTTGGATCCACTGTTGACCCTTTGTCCTGTGTTTATAGTTTTGTCTGAAATTGTAACCATTAGAATCTGTGAGCTCTGTATGGTCGTGCACACCTGGTATCCCAGCACTCTGGGAGGCAGGAGAATGGCAAGCTGAAGCCCAGCTAGAGTAGTTGGGGGTATCTTGCATGATACCACTACAACAGCAGTGCTCAGCTAGGGTAGTTTGGTATCTTAGCAAAGACTCAGTCTTGAAATAAAAGAATAAAAAAAGGTTTAGAATGTAGCTAAAGGCCATGAGTTAAATCCCCAGTACTAGGGAATAAAAAGATCTATGGAATAAAAAGATCTATGGAATACAGTGTATTTCCTTAGTTTTCTTTTCCACATTGAACGTATGATAGAGGTATGAGAATTTACCCAAGCATACAAGCTTCTTTTAGAGCTACTGATTCATTCTGTGATCCTTTTCTGGGTAGGCGCTCTGTCGCTGAGCTAAATCCCTAGCCCCTTGTGATCCTTTTCTAATTATAACATCTCACTTACTTAAGTTTCTGGTTGATGTCTTTGGAAATTCAGATTTTTTTTCCCCTTTTAAAAAATTGGCTGGAGGATGGGCATTGTGGCACATGCTTGTAATCCCAGCACTCAAGAGGCTGAGGCAGGAGAATCACTGAGGTCCAGGCCAGCCTGGACTATGAAGTGAGTTCAAGGCTAGCCTG